CCTCTGTTGCTGCTGCATCTGCTGCTGCATCAGAAGCTGCTGCGTCTGTTGCTGCATCTGCTGCTGCTGCCTCTACTGCTGCTGTCTCTTCTGCAGTGTCTGCTGCTGCATCCCCTGCATATATTGCTGCATTTGCTGCTGCGTCTGCTGCTGCTTCTGCTGCTGCTTCTGCTGCTGCATCTGCTGCTGCATCTGCTGCTGCCTGCGCCGTTGGCTCTGCTGCTGCGTTTGCTGCTGGCTCTGCTGCTGGGTCTGCTGCTGTTTCCCCTGTAACTGCTGCTGCTGCAGCGTCTGCTGCTGCAGCGCCTGCTGCTGCAGTGCCTGCTGCTGCAGCTCCTGCTGCTGCAATAGTTTCTGCGCCAGAAGCTGCTGCTTCTGCTGCTGCCCCTGCTTCTGCATCTGCTGCTGCGTCTGCTGCGTTTGCTGCTGCGCTTGTTGCTGCGTCTGCTGCTGCTTCTGCTGCTTCTTCTGCTGCTGCGTCTGCTGCTTCTCCTGCTGCTGAGGTAGGGGCCATGGTATCAACTGCATCAGCAGCAGCTGCTGCTTCTGCTTCATCTGCTGCTGCTGCGTTTGCTGCTATTTCTGCTGCTGGCACTGCAGCAGTGGGTGCTGCTGCATCTGCTGCTGCGTCAGCGGCTTCCTCTGCTGCTGCAGCAGCTGTTTCTGCTGCTGCTTGTGCTGCTGCAGCTGTGGTAGGACCTAACTCCTCTGCTGCTGCATCGGATGCTTCTGCTGGTGACTGCGCTGCAGCAGCAGCAGCAGCAACAGCTGCTGCTGCTGCTGCTGCTCCGGAGGAATCAGGAGCAGCAGCTGCAGCAGCGGTTGCTGTTTCGTCCTCTGCTGCAGTTGCTGCTGCAGCGTCGTCAGCTGCTGCTGCTTCTGTTGCTGCAGCAGTAGCTGCTGCTGCTGCTGCACTCGCTGGCTGAGGAGCTGCTGTATGAGCAGCTGCTTCTTCTGCTGCTGGCTCTGCTGCAGTTGCTGCTGCAGTTGCTGCTGCAGTTTCTGCTTCTGCTGCTGCTGCGCGAGCCGCTGGTGCTTCCGTTGCTGCATGTGCTGCTGCTGCATCAGCAGT